CCGAAATCGCTAGCTAGACTAGGTCAGGGAATTCCGATATATTGGTAATCGCCAAATGCACTCTTCAGATCTACTCGACTCTGTCTTTTGATTTCTCTGGGTGGTTACGAATTATATTAGTTGTTAGTGGTAGAAGAGTTGTCAAACACTGAATACCTGTGCCATCCTCAGCTGCTTATTTTGGAAGCTACATTCTTTTATGCGATGAATCAAAGTGCCTTATATTTTGTACTTTGTCTTGAAGTCCCTCCGGGTACTCCCGTCATTTAGTGCTCTCCACACCTAGTGTGGGAGGCTGTCTATGTCTCGTTGACTCTATAGTTTTACAATCCGCTTTTAACAGGGTTACGAATGCTATAAGAGACTAGTATTTCTTTCATGGGGAAAAGTTTGAAATTGCTGCGCGTTACATGTTTTAAAACACAAGTCTTGAGTAACATCATGAAGATTCTAGGATTTAATATGTTCAGCTAGGTTTAGAGACAATGTAGTTCGAATATCAATCTATTCCTGAGCGTCAATTTCACTGGAAGAGCGAGCTCTCTTTGAAGATCACGTGAATCACCCTTGTATTTGAATACTTTTCAACATTTCTCACTGTCTCGGTGGATGAAAACTGGGTATTTTATGTCTACTGAGGGATCGCAGGTAAATTTTAGGAATAATAGTGGGCAGAGTTTGGTACATAGTGAAACTCGAGTTTCAATAATAAACTTGGCCTTACTTATTCAACGTCTGGAACTGTTTGTGAAGTATCAGACGATCATGGACCAAGTCATCTAGAACGGAATGAACCAAAATGAATGAGTGAAAGCCAAAAAATAAATTGTCGATGCTTTCAAACAAAATGATAGCATAATAAAATAATAGCATTGTCCCAGAACGGTTGGCGGTCTAGCCGAATTAAGATTTGATAACTCTTAACTGGCGAAACTAGCTGGCCATTTTTGTAAACATTTCCGTTTCTCGGGAGTAAAAGACGAGCTGGGTAAATGTGATCTTGTCAAGAAATAGTTTTTCACGAGCATTGGCTTGCGACAATAACGGCTGCAATTAAACGCAACTCAATTTCGTAAATGTGCCCTTCAGCTTAGCAACCACTCATAATGAGGCGGGAATTAATACATCCGCCATCTCCGTAAGCAATGGCGGCCGGCTTTCTTCGTTCTGTGGTTTTTTCAGCTATTTCTTTTGTGTTTATCTATGTAAATTATCGTTTTGGTGTGCTAAAATGCCGCAGTTATTTTAATGTCCTATATGTTGGTGTGAAGTTTATTTCGAATCAGCCATGTTTTCTGGGTTTTTGCTGCTTCTCCTCAAGTCGATGTATTTCTTCAGGCAATCTGGCTAGTCTTGTGTTATAAAATGTCGGCCGGCTTTCTTCGTTCTGTGTTTTTCCCGCTATTTCTTTTGTGTAGCTACAGAATTTGATGTTTCAGTGTGCTAAAATCCAAAAGTTAGTGTAATACTCTAAACGTTGGAGCAAAAATTTTCCTGATTTCGCTTTGTTTTCTGGGTTTTACCTGCTGCTAATGAAGTCACTGTATTTATTCAGCTAAGCTGGCTAGTACTAACATAAAACCTTACGTTTTTAAACGACAATCGGTTATGTTTTACCTTGTTTTCTAGTTATCCAAAGCCGAAGTTCGTCTTCATTTAGCTAAAATAATTGTTGCTGCCGCTTGTGACTAACTGTTCATTCCTAACTGTCCTTAATGATGTTATCGGCAAAACGAAAGGAAACAATCTGCGTTCTTTACAAAATTTTCTTCATTATTATGGACAACACTATCCCACCAACGAGTCAAACTAATACAGATTGCCAAGGAGTAGGGTATATCGGTATTGATTTCGAAAGGACCCAGACTTCCGACAACTATAGATGAAGTCACAGATGCTACCAATCTATTGCAGAGGGTTTGTTATGAAAAATATGCCATATAGCAGTTATATAGGGGTTGTACTCATTATGCAGTGTTTTAAAGCAAGCTTAACATTGAAAAGCCGGAAATCTGCTACCAGTGTGTAGTGTATGTTTGCTGTTATGGCCATAAAAGGAAGCTGAAAGGTCATGATCAGGGAGTAAAAAGGTAATTAACTGTTTATTAAGCTCACTTTTTTATAGATCATATTTCACCACTCGCAAATTTGTGTTTTTTCGGTATGATGTCAAATGGCACCTAATGTGATCACTCTTACGATAAAAAGTGCCTGTAAATTTTCACCTTCATATTCGAATTATTTTTGGACAACTGTCTTACAGTCTGAGTGCTTCGTACGCCCTGGGAGACTAGATTCCTACATTATTCGTAGTTCCAGTATAACTTTCTCACGCAGTAAGTTCAAATTAGACACTAGTCTTTCTAAATAAGCCTTATAAGCTAATATCCGTATTCTCTATTTCAGTTAATCGATGAAGACATGTACCACGTGCATCTGCTGTATTCTGCCATTTTACTCCAATTCTAACTGTTATATCTTACTTCTGAAAAATAAAATTGTTATATGCAGCAAATACAGACTTATTTGTTTTGATGAAGGTAAAGGGGTTCATGGGATTTTCAGCAGGACCGTATTAATATTCTCATTAAAGAGTTAAGCGAGTGCGTAAACCAGTGTAAGGTACCATACGGGGTGCATTTTAGTTACTAGTGTTCCATTAGTGCGGGTAGGGGCATTGCTTGCTTGTCATTTGAATTAGAAGCTATAAGATAAGACGCAGGTACGGTTAGGATGTGTAACGCGTGTCCATCCATCAGCTGGTGTGACAACCCATGGTGGTTAGAATAAGTTATGAGAGGACCCGAGTATGTAAGTCTCGCAAGAAAATGACGAAGATATGCACCAAATCACCTTATGAAAAGCGCCTCCAATCACTTAACCTCTACTCATTAGAGTATAGACCTCTTAGAGGTGACCTAATGGCTTACAATAAACTTAACACTTCTGGACATCCCCTAAAACACCTACTTAAGCTTAGTCCCAGAAACCAGCGACACAACATAGAACGGACTGTAGACGCAACTTCTACTCCTTAGGAGTTGTCAAATGCTGGAATCCGGTGCTCGCCGAGCTAGTCCAAGCGACTTCCCAGGAGTCCTTTAAGAGGCAAGTGGGTCTATTCTTAGGGATAGTATCATACTATGATTTACCCATTTCTCTTTTATTGTTAACATACCTAGGTTCCTGCCTGGAGGTTTTGGTGACCCCCCGCTACTAGACACGGAAACCTGTTAAGCGAAAGCTTCTATTAAGTCCACAACCATTTGAACACATGAACTAGGTGCTGAGAGGCTCGCTTATCACAAGTTTCTTACAACGATTAAGTAGGTAAAACAAAGTAGCATTAGATTCAAAAGTTTATTCAAGAACTTTCATTAAGAATCGAATATCAAACAAAGGTTTAAACCAAGTTCCCGTTTAAAAGTTGTATTGGTAATGTTAAGCTGCTGTTTTTGTTGTTTTTTTCCAAACGAAAGAGTAAAAGAAGTCACAAAATACTGGAAGTGGTTGTGAGACTAAAATGGAAGTCAAGCATCCTTTTTATAATCTGCTATTCGTTGGGTCTCCCGTAATCAGTTCCATAGGGCCATAGTTCCAAGGGCGAAACAGTTTTTAGGGTCTGTGAAGGCACTCCTGTTGTATTCTAAATGAAAAAAATAGTGATGAATTTAGTCAGAAATGTGGAATAGATAAATAACCAAATTACATGTTTTTTAGCAAAGAATTTATGCAGTTGTGATTTACCTTGAGTTCAAGAATATTAGATAAGGTCAGCTACTATTACTTGCGCAAAGCATAACATGGGCTTAGTACCGTATTGCAATGTTTTTATTATTTTGCTCCTATTTAAGTATTCCCATGCATCTGTGTCTAGTTTAACAGGAAAACATACAAGCAGAGTAAGTGTCTGATAAACTAAAAGTCCCAGTTGTCAAAAAGATTCTTAACCTTTGTCCACAGCCAGCTGCATTTAATTGAGACACAGAACACTCATGTTCTAAGACTGTATACTGCTGTTTTGCGGGCAACTGAAAGCTCAGACACTTAGCTATCTTGCCACCGATGTTATTGCTGGGGAAATTGTTTAGTGACAGTTATCATGAAATATGGTCACTGATAGATGTACAGTTTAGAAATAAACACCAAACATATTTATCGCTATCTTATAATGTATGACAGCAACAGCATCAAAGGCACGTTTTTTCCTATTTTTAAACAGACTGATCTGAATTCGTATACACATTGGAAACAGGCAACTCTACTTACTAAACTGATCTGTTTCGTTACAGGCTTCAAGCACTATACTTAAGAATACCATAATTCTTTCAACTAAACTGAATTATACGACAACCACGAACAATAAACTAAGCAATTGTCATAGTTATTGTTTCACTTGCAAAGAAATGTTGCTCAAAGAAGTTAAATGGACATAATTAAGCCAATAAAACCAAAACACGAAATATAGGCCAGTTGAACTTACCTAAGAAAAAAAAAGGATACATATATACTGCTTTAAAGCAGTATTCAGTATGAATTCATACTGAAGACAACAGGGAGTTGATCATAGAAACACAGTTTACAGTACAACAAAACTTTCTTCAGTAAAATCATGCACTGACAGTCTATCTGGAAACAATCAACTATGTGCATAAACTCACTATGACTTGAGATATCATCTCAGCATGCAAAGTACGTACAGTGTAACGCAGTCAGACGTGGCGAATAGAAATTAAAAACAGATCAAAATTAATTACATAATCTAGTTACTTAATTAAAAATACATTATGAAATGACAAAACCTGTGGTTACTTGAACATACAAGTGACAGTGTGCGATACATTAAGTTTGCACGGTTGCGTTGCGAATAAGATCACCCAGAATAACACCGAGTGATTGATTATTGAATGCAGAAACTTCTATCGTTCTGCTTTCTGTAGATAAAAATCGGAAGTTATCGGCCAAGAAATTAAAATCTAATGTCATACAAAACATTCAGTAGACAGCCAAGTAATAAGTTGTTATTGGGACCTTCTTATCTGAACACCAGGACAGAATACTGAAATGCCGATCGATGGCCTCTATATGACCTTGAATGTCGTCTCTTTTTCAAAAGTACTACATATTTTCACTGACAGCAGAACTATGTACAAACAATATAAGGTAGTGATAGTTAACTTTATATATTTGCCTCACAAATATAAGCTTTCTCAAGACCTCCGGGTTCGCCGAGTTTGCAGCAGAGCACCTGCCTTTTCTACGAAATCTCTGCAGAACGGGACCAAAGGTGTGACAAGATTAGAAGATTATGTTGGAAAATACTTGGTCGCCATATTTTATCCTTCGAACTTGTAGGTTTTTTCAAACGAATTACTGCCAACAATTACAGACATGTTTTCCTTTATTTTGAGGAAACTTTGGGTAAATTTGAGGGTTTTCGCTAAAGTTGTAAAAATATGGTAGCTTTCACTAAGGTTTCTGGAATGTTTTGGGAAAAACCCTAAAATGTTATAAGATCTTGCGGAAATGTTTGAAAAAACTCAATATTTCTCCAATCACTCAGAGGATTGACCACAGACCTGGGGAAATGTCGAGGTTTTTATACTGTTAGTCACTTCCTCAGAACTTTCACTAGTTTATAATTTATGGCTTATCATTACTGATTATTACGGGTCTTCAGCCTTACAGTATTCAAAAGGAGACACAGTACATAAAACAAGACTCCGTGGTCGGGCAACGTCTGTGAATTCAGCCTAGAACCTTCCATCACATCGGTATTTTTACTAGGGTTTTACTTTCGTCTTAAGAAGCTCTCCACATTTCTTCGTTTAGTTGTTCATTCGTTTGGCTCTTGAATTTTCAGTATAAATTAGTTTACTAATAAATCATGGAAAATTTCCTTCACTAGTCTACTGAATTTTAAGACAAATAAATTTATCATTAGTTTGTCTTCAGAGCATGCTATTGGAGATTGCTGAGGGACTCTATTAAACGCTGTTGCAGTGATTACTTTTAAGTTTTAAAAAATAGAATGCAGATTCAGATAAATCATCGTTTCTTCACGAGAAGAAGTGTTTGCAATAACTTAATTGTTTTATTTGAAGGGCATTATAAGACATATAAAGCGTAAAATTTCTAGCGAAACGCAAAGTATCATCGGTAATTGTTTGTTTATCTACAGCTTCAGCCTAACCGATAAATATTTATATTTTGGAAGACATTATTAAACCCGTATACAATTTTATAAGACGAGCCATATTAATTCTTTAAATTCTTAAGTTTACTCCAAAGAGCATATATTTACTGAATGACCAAAGATCGGTTGAAACCAGAAAGTTTTCCAAACTAAGGAATTACGGAAACTACATAATGGTCCGGTCAAAATCAATCAACAGAAAATGGAAAGAACAATTTGTGTATGCGTTAATAATCAGAGCAAACAAGAAAACAAAAAAATGGGTAGGGAAGATATCGATCCAGCCATTACCTTTGGTACATTTTAAGTCGAATGTATATTTAGAACTGACAACTCAAAAAAGGTTTTGGAGTTGGACTGAACAAGTGAACAGATATTTTATCTATTATATAAAGGTTAGAGGCGGAGCACAAGAAGTATGACTGTTTTTTTTGACGCAACATGAATGATATTATTTAGTATGACAACTCAATAGCAGTTTCAAAACTTGAATTGCTTTCATAAGAAGCAAAATATGGTAAGAAAAATAATTAGGGTAATTGTTGGTATCATTCCAAATTCAACTAATTTCTACAGATAATTTAACCAAATAATAATCGTCTCTTTACTGATTATTAGCTCTAAGATTAATTCTAAGGAAAAGTCAAAACTGGTGGAGTCTAACCACGTTAAAGATAGACAGTGAAGTAACAATGTATTTTGGATGCCTTGTGCTCCATACGAAGAATCATTTGATTTCTGGAGTATACTCCACTGAATTTCAACTGATGTTAATCGACCATCTCACTAAAAAACATAAAATATGAGTTAGCCACTTTAATTACGATGTTGTGAGCTTAGTCGACAAGATTAGATCAGGATTAAGTACTAGACTACATAAACTTGAGTATTAACCTATGATTAAATGCATTCACTTCATATTTTTCTAGATAAAAAACGAAGGGATTTATAATTGTTATACTGAATATATGGGTATGCAAACGATTATAATGTTAGCCTTGATGCTCCTTCAGTTACTGAGCGAGAATTCTACTGTTTTTGTTCTATGTAAAAGCGAAAGAACACTGTCCTCAATTTTACGAAAAGCAACTACTAAAAAGACCTTTTATTATACTTGCTATGCTAATAGCTAGGTAAATACGCAAATATCAAAATATATTTGTCCATTGCTTAGTGAAGAGTAATAAAAGCATTGAGTGGACGATCAGTCTTTCTTTTTACGAAAATTTCATTTAAACTTCTTGGTAGGTTAATAATAATTTGAAACAAGTATCTTGGTGTCAACGTAAGTCATGCAGAAACTAAAGCTCGTCTGATTAATAATGTTGATTGAGGTTGAAATGTGACATATACTTTGTTATGGTGTTAGGTGTTGTATTACATTTAAAAAGAAGCCCTAGGCATAGTTTTGACAAGGCTAGCCTACAATATCGTGAGAACTGATTCTGTTCTTGAGATTCAAACCACGTGCCACTAGTAGCAATAGTTCTCTTCACGTTTCAGACATCTTGCTGAAGGGTGACAACCAGTACGTGACTTGTATTCAAGTTTTTTTCTGTCTTAAATCACTAAATAACTAAATATTGTTACATTATAGTGTTATTTGTGCAACTGCCTACATTCTTTGTAGAGCATAGTTAATTTATCAGTCCTTTTCATACTAAATTATTTATAGCCTAAAACTATCATCACAGGAGCTATTAAATTTCAACAGTTATTTGTCAAACTTTCAAGAAATCAATTGTGAAATTTTAGCAATCTCTCCGGATTCCCTAGAATCTCATATCGCATGGTATTGCGCGCCAATTCAGAAGAATGGACTTGGTGAAAATGTCCATTTTCCATTACTAGAAGATAAAAATATGAGAATCTGCAAAGCATATGGAGTTTCTAATGAGGATAATGGAAGTGCTTTAATGTAAGCTTTTCAATAAAACCTTTTCATTGTAGTAAGGTTTAGGAAGTAAGACTAATAATCTTTTTTAATATTCGCCAGCGGTTCTGGGTTCGAGCCCATGAGTGAACATCAACTCTGAGATGCAGGTACATCCGGCTGATGAGTCCCGAATTGGACGAAACGTGCGTCCTTCATTCCACTGCTAGTCACTATCAATCTATGCTTATCACCGTTATTATTATTATTAATGTCGTCATAAATTCATTTGTATATAACTATGCCCTTGACAAGTATATGTGTGATTAGATTATTCGAAATGTATTGCGTTAATATATCTCATAGTTCTGATAATCTTAGTCTTCTTATAACTATAGTAGTTAAATTTTTAGGGAAGGAGGATAAAAGATGTGTGTTATCGATCTAGGGTTGCCATGGTTAACGATGGGTGTATTTTACGAAAATTTTAAATTAATTATGGGCAGGTATATAACTGAATAATAATACTGTTCATGATATATAGTTTGTCAATTACTGAATAACATTTCGTTTTATTCTATCAAAATACTATGTATATATATATATATATTCCAAAGCAAAGTGATAATTTTTAGTAATTATGAAAACAATTAAATCAATATCAATGCATCACTTACATTGTTCTCTTCAAAATGTACTTAGATGTCAATTTTACATGTAATTACTATAATGGCAAAATTATATATTTTTCATTATAAAACAAAATCTCTTTAACATGTTAACCAAATTTAGGGAAACCACGCCTTAATTTTCAACATTTGTTAGATAGTTTTACAGGGGTATCAAATTATTTTTATTATTTTTGTAAATGAAGAAAGTCGAACGAATTATCATTAGAAAAACATGGTTGAGGTTTGACGTATATGGATGAATTTACACCACAGAAATGATATATTTAGTGGAAAGTGGTTCATGATGTGTGATTTATTGGTTAAAATAGCTGACAATTAATAAAAGTGAAACTTGAACTCAAACTCTAACTTTAGTTACCTGATGATTTACTGCGACTATTATTATTTAGCTGTTAAGCTGAAGTAAATCAATGTTAGTTTCACGATGTATAAAATCTATAACCTCCAGCTTCCAACATACTGTAGTATTTCTTGTTTATCTAAATTTGAAATTAAATTGCCGTTCTTGCAAGGGTAAAGATGAAGAATTTTCAGCGTTTCTACTTACTAACTAACTGTCGTTTTCTTTCGTAAGCACACATATGTATCTACTCCGGCAGTATCATATTAAATCTGAGAAAGTTTCTTTTAACAACTAGTCGTCAGTGGTCAATTTGTTTTCAAAAAAAGAACAATTAAGCAATTTGATATAAATATATTTTCAGTTGTTGTAAGGTAAATCGATTACAGTTTGTTGCTGAATTTTATAACATTTATCGAATACATTTTGTACAACAATACATACATCTGTAAATGTTATTTTCTTAATTTCTCAAATGTTGGTCAATTTTATATGGTTAAGAAAAAAAGTTTCAAAATAATGTCTTATAAATTACCATTTAGTTGTTATTCATTGACGCTTACTTATTTTTGCTTGATGTAGGAGCATTTTTGTAATCGATACAAACGGACTGATACGTATTACCGTATGTTTAGATAAAGGAATACACGTTTCTGTAAAGGATATACTGCGAATGGTGAGAGATTTACAAATGAAAGATAAGGAAGATGAATTGGATATTTTAAGACATTCGGAAACATCAGTAACAACGACGCCACTTGATTAGTTAAGAAAAGTGATTAGAAGTGTTATGTGTTATTTTACATCTGGTTAGTTTTCAAATGTCAATGATTTTTGTCTCTGTAAGACAATCCCTTCTGTTGAACCCCATGTAAATTCATGTTTATTGTAGAATTTCTAACTTGTTTCTTTTCAGTTCTACCGTTACTTTTAAACCTTGATATGTTATGATTTATTCTATCATTGCTTCGATTTGTTTGTTTGTATCTACTTTCCGATGATAATGCGAAACATATTTATAGTTTTATCCGATTGGATAATACTCCTTATACTTATGATATGATGTATACAATTTCAGCTTAGGAAATATAACGAAGCATATTTTCGATTCGCTTTCTTTGAAATTTGATTTTCTAAAACTGATTCGTTTATTGATAGCTTAACGTTTCGCTTTTTCGTTTCAAACTACTTTAAATAGTATAAACAAACATCGGAAAGTTGTAGGCATTTATAGATCGTGATTGTTTATAGATGGTCATATTCGTTTGAGTTCAAAATTTGTTCATTAATATATCTGTGTTTGAACTCTTATACACCGCATATTTTTGTCTAAAGCCGATGTGCACTATGCATCACTTTTAGCACTTATAAATGTAGCAATTTGTTCTGATATTTATACTGGTATTAATGGAAGCACAAGACAATAAAATGGATTAATACCAACACAAATATATGTTAAGAATACCGTATATTTAATGTATAAAGCACTTACCTTTGAACAGAAATATCCATAAAATGATATACATAGACAGTTCACATTTTACCATTGACTGTTAAACTAAGATATATTCTAATAGGATTTTTACTAGTTTTGATTTTCCCATTGTTAATATATTGACTGAACATCGATCCATCTTGGTTCTATCTTGGCACTGAGTTTGAGTCTCAGAAAGAGCATTAACTGTGTGACGTACGAACATCCAGCTGACGAGTCCCAAATAGGACGAAACGCACGTCATGCATTCTACTTCTAGCCACTCTCCATGTTTGCTTATATCGAGGTAATCCGCACAAAATACATATGTGGCAATAAGAGACTGATCAGTTGCAGTCCTAAACAAGATTCAAACAAACAATACAAAATGAATTCATATGTATATAAATATATTTAAATAAAAGGTCAGCTAGACAAAATGGCCCAACAAAAACATGTCCACATCACCTTACAGTTCAGAGGTGTGTCAGACAGACTGATTAAAAAGCTTAAAACAGTTAATAACGAAAGGTCTTTATCAAGGAAAAAACAAAGTCCTTGCTTCACCGAAAACCTAAAAGGCATGAAAATGGCTGCGTCACATCCTACTGTGTTTACTAATTTAAAGATGTGTGTTAGTGGTCACAAATACACAGAAAGAAGCAACCGTGATCTCCAAATTAGGGTATTTGAACATGCACCTAAGTGGTTGCAGAAACAAATAAAATCAAAAGACTCAATAAGAGTAGGTGATAAACGTTTAACATCCTCTATTACCAAACAAATGAGTGAAACACGTCATAAGATTGATATGAACAAGGCTTTTGTGGTGTTGTCGTGGATTGGTTGAAGTTCGACATTAACACTGTTGGATACTGGCTCAGTGGTCTATAGTTTAAGTGTTTGGGCGCGAGACCGAAGGTACTGGGTTCGAATCTCGCATGCGGGATCGTGAGTGCGCGCTGCTGAGTAGTCCTATACTAGGACGAAACAGTCCTCAAGTGCTTCCAGGTTTCCCATGGTGATGTAACTTTAATTGACTCACGAATTCAACTAGTAAATTGTACAAAAGTGTTAAAGGCCGTAAACTAAGGTCTATTGAGGCCTTAACCACACGAAAATTCAAACTCAATTTATGTTTTTAGAGACAATTTGTTCCCACCTTAAACCTACCATGGTAATATTAGCTTATTAACCAACGTGACAAAGCTTCAAGTTGTTTTCCATATTATTTTCTTTATTATCTTTGCCTCCTCTTACCCTCCATTTCTAATCTAGTTGACCTTTTATTTTTATATATAAATGTTCGTAACAAGTATATATTTGTTTGAGATACATTGCGCTAATATAGCACATAGTCTTGATAATATTCGTTTTCTTATTACACCATCCAAATCCTATTTGTTTGGGTTGATGAGACCAGAGATATTGTTCTCAGTACTGCAATTTTCAGTAGTATTTATTTATCCAAGGCAAGAACCTATAGTTCTTTCGCTGAGAGCTCGGCATTAAGTTCCTAATCATTTCTTTGGATTTCGGGACCTACCGGTTATTCATTTCATTTGATTATTTTAAATATTTCTCCCATTTGACTAATCAGTTTCATTTAGAGAAAAATTTAAAACAGGGTTTACCTTGAAATCACCATGAGCAACATACTGTTATACTTAATATTATCAAATATATGATGCCGTTTATTTTGTTTGTTTAATTCGATGGAAAAACTAATGAAGTATAAGTTTTTTAAGTAACATTCAAATGAGCGAGGTTTGTACAGTAACCTTAATTTAAAACATAAATCAACAGTCCATTTTTGTGTTGCTTGTGTCTGTTTATAAATCAACAGTTTTTTTGGAACGAAGTTAGAGCTGATAATAAGTGTTCAAAATATGATGCGAAAATGAATATTGGCTTCTAAATATCAGGTTTAAGAGTGAATTATAATAAATTAAAAGTCGGTTTGTCAAAAAATATAAAATATGTTATCTGACCTTTGGAAACTTTGTTGGTTAAAATAGAAATACAGGAAGACAAAACAATTCATAACAGATAATTAGTCTCTTAAATGTTGAATTCATGAGTTGATGAAAGCTAGACCGACATGGAAAACTGAACTCACTAGACGGCCGTTTCGTCCTAGAACGGCACTCCTTAGCAGTGCGCACTCGCGATCATGCATGCGGGATTTGAACTCAGTACCTTCGGTCTCGCGTGCAAACGCTTAAACTACAGACCATTGAGCCGGTATCCAACAGTGTTCATGTTTAATCTTAATCAATTCACGATGTTGCGCAACCATTCATCCATTGTACAAAGTAGATACTTGTCTCCTCCAGACACCGATTGGACTCCAGTGGCCACGAATTCTCACTAGAACTCCAGGAAATCATCTTAAAGCCAGTCACTAGTGAGCATATGATGATAATGATCAAAATGGGGATTTGTGAAGATTGTAATAGTTTTAATAGCTAAATTCATGACTCGATGTAAGCTAGAGCACCAGATTTCATATTTCTGTGTAGCCTTTATTCTGTTTGTAGACTATAATTCATTGTTTGGTGTTAATCAGTATGACTATTCATACATAAAATGCTTACCTATATCAATATTTGAGTTTAAAATGATTTTCATGCAGTCAAGTAAATAAAATAGACCTATCTACCATTTCAAGTTTTGTTAGTAGAGATCACTTTCCAGTTATAGTTCCATGTTACTGATCCAAATATGTATGCCATGTGCTATATTAACGATGTTGTCATAAATTACACCATTCATTGGCTACCACTTGGAACCAGGAAACACGAGACAGCTGCTTCATCATCTAATAGAAATCTTCAACAGCGTATTGCCATGAATTCACCGGCAAATAAACTTAAAACCTTTAGCTTTCGTGACGAGTTCCTAGTCTTCAGACGAATGGATTGCCATCCAACAGTTTAGATGTCTAACTTCAGTTGATTCGGGATATTGTGCCACCGATATTAAGATGAAATAGCTGTCCAGTGCTTCCTTGATTTCAGTGTTGGTTTAAATAAGATAAGTAAATGAAGTTATTTACGAAAACTCAATCATCTCTACAAACATCCAATATAAAATTTTACTAGATAGTTTCTAGAAACTCCCGATTCGGTCTTGGCACCCGGGCGATATCACAGCCCACACAAATAGAATGAAATGACGATGTTTACGGAAAATACTATTCTTACTTCAATTAACAGTCAAATGACTCACATTATTATTATTATTATTATTATTATTTATTATTATTATTATTATTATTATTATTATTATTATTATTATTATTATTATTATTATTATTATTATTATTATTATTACTGGATATAGACGCATCCCAGAGTTAGTGTTCACCCCGGAATTCAAACAGTACCTTTTGCTTCAAACACCATCGGGTTATCCACTAAGCTAATGAATCTAGAGAGACACTCAATTGAAATTGTTTGGATTATCTCGTTGTTGATAATCTGACTGAAATTTGATCAGACTTTGTTGACACATGAGCATACCGTGAGGACTTCCTCAATATACCCATTATGAAACAAGTTTATTCAGAATAAATAGAATGTGGTTAGCAGTGGGAGCCGAGACATGCATTTCTATATCAAATTGTGTCATAATGGGTATATTGAGGCGATCTTCATAGTATGCTCATGTTCCAGCCAAGACTAATGAAATTTCATTCAAAATATCAACAATAAGATTATCCAAACTACTGCAATTTAAGGATAAATTAATGGTTTGAATGAAAAAAACCCTAGAGGAATAAGTTTATTGAGTTGGAGTCATATTTAATATACCTTTGAATTTTTTAAAGAAATATCCTAAACAATTACAATTTCGTTATTTGTTTTCGTTCATTAGCTTGTAAATAAAGCCTTGAGTTAAATGTAATGGACCCCTGCTTCGTGATCCAGAGGTTAGGCGTTCATGCACGAGATTGATGATCCTAGGTTCTGTTCTAGGATCCATGGTCGTGAATACCTATTCGTGAGCAGTCCCAAATGAAAGTGAGACGGCTGTCCAGTGCTTTCAAGATCTCATTAGTGGTCAAGTTGAGATCAGTTCATGATTTTAAATAATAAATCTAATCTGGTAATTGCAACTATAAGCTCTATGATTTTAACTTAAAATTTACGACAGCTAGTGATGAATCTGTTAAGTGTTTAATTCCTTTAGAACATGATAGTACTGATGGTCATAGTTAATTTGGTTTGCTTTATAGATAGTCAAGGTACTTGACTAAATGAGGTCACAGCTTCCAAACTATCGTGCGAAATTGTGGGCAACTATTGTAGTTGTGTTATTTTCTTTAAGTGGTATTAAAAATTAGGCATTCACACTGTGTAGTACTAAGTATCATAAGATTATGTTTAGATGGAATCTTCATATGACTACTGGTTAATATTTTCGCGATATTCCAATTACATGATGAGCATATATACTGTCCGCACCCGTAAATTTTTAAATGTATTTTTTTAAGATCACTTCTTTTAATCAACATAATACTTATTAAAACACAATTATATGAACGAAGAATATTCTTTTCAATAACTTCTCATCAAGTTCTACAATTATCTCATGTCCAAATTAATAATCCATAAAATTGGCCAGATTTAAGGCAGAGTACGTCATTTGAAAATGGTAAGCAGACTAAGAATGTGACTCAATTATTGTATCGTAATGTGATAACAATGAGATATAAAGTCCTTTCAATTGATTATGAATTAAATTATAATTCCCTAAAACTAGGAAGTTTCGCTTCTGAATAAATTAATTGTCCAGTGTTTATTGCTTAATATTAATTAGGAACAAAACTTCCTTCAGAAAATCAGCTTCACAACA